TGGAGATTTCCAGGAATCGTTTTTATCAAGTGCTGCAGTTAATGAGGAGCCCAATGTTATATTTTGAGATGTTTGAGCTAAAACACAAATTGACAGCAGGAAAAGTAGAATGAGACATAGAAAATATGGAGAAGCGAAAGCCATGGTTTATCACGGATTTGAGAACTAGACTTTGAAATTTTGGGTAAAAATGAAGGTTTTTGCAGCAGGTAAATATGGTCCCTTTTATGTTCTATGCATGCATAACTATTCGTGATTTTTCTATAATTTTATTTTATAACTTGATGTTAATTTTCCTCATGTGACTTTTCCTAGCTTTAGGAAAGCGAAAGGAGCTTGTGGAAAAATTCAAGCGTTTCAATGCGTTTTTGAACGTGGGAATTTTAATTTAGTAGAGTCAAAGCTAGGACTTTGAACTATATTTTAGCCCCAGAAGACTCATAGGTTTAGACGTGCAGAGATGGTTTTCTAGACGATGTAAGAATAGATTGTTCAAGTGCTGAACCATAGATGGTGTGGAATTGGGATATTTTCCTTTACATATTTAAGGGTGGCTTATAACCGTTCATGATATAGAATCAGTTGAAATGCAGTCATTCATATGGTAAGCCTGTTTCAACTTTAGAATACTTGGAAAAAGTCATAGCCCCAACCAAAGTCAACCAATGAACCTTTTCAGGGTACAAAAAGGAAAGGGGCAAGCACAAGTAGGAAATTTTGAAGCATGGGCGGACTCTGTCTAGCCTTATGGTCCAGCTCTTGGATAACTTATGTTGTTCTAGAAAGATGATGACAGGAGGATTTTATATGCCTTCAAGAAAAGGGCATTTGTGAAGGATAGAATGTCTACAATGGGGAACTGCTGGAGCCCAATGGTGCATAATTTAGGAATGGCAATTCTTTCCGTTTCTAGCGGGGTCCCTCGGGGATCCTCACCATAAGGACAGGTGGGAAGAATATTCCTCCCTACGGGGTGGGGACGGGGACCATTTATGCTCGCAAAATTTCATGGGGAATTTTCCCCGCCCTGCGGGACTCCACGGGGATCTCCATTCTCGTAAAAATATTTTTTTTAATTTTAAAATTAATTTATTCTTTAAACTCAAACCCAAACCCAAACCAAAATCCAAACCCAAATCCGATCCAATTACAAATAAACTTAATCCAATACTATCCAACCCAACCCATTCCCCTACATTTAACCTTAATCCTAATTTATTTTAATTCTCATCACTTATAGTCTCACTCTCAATCTTTTTGTCTGTGGCTCACCCATCTTTCACCTCCATCTCACCTTTTCAGTTTCCTCTGTTGTTGTTGCTACCGAAGCTTGCTGTCGAATCCATCTCCTCTATTGCTACTGAAGCCATTTACTTTGTTGTTGCCAGATCCATTTGCTCTGTTGTTGCTGCTGAAGACATTTGCTTTGTTGCTGTTGCTGCCGAAGCTTGTTGCCAAATCCATCTCCTCTGCTGCTGCTGAAGCCATCTACTCTGTTGTTGTTGGATCCATCTACTTTGCTGCTGCTGCCGAAGCCATCTGCTCTGCTACTGCTGGATGCATCTACTTTGTTGCTGCCGATCCATCTACTCTACTGCTGTCGGATCCATCTGCTCTACTGCTGTGGTCGGAGCCATTTGCTGCTGTTGTCAGAGCCATCTGATATTGATGGGTGGGGGATGGGGATCCTCGCGGGAAACGGTGAAGAAGGGTAAAATCCACCCCCATAAAAAATCCTCGCGGGGATCCCAGTCCCTGTGATCGCGGGGACGAGGATGAGGAGGGGCTCCCCAGTCTTGTGTGGACTCGTTGACATCCCTCTGCATATATTGATCATTTGATATTAAGCATTAATTTTAAGATAATGGAATAAAATTGGTCTATGAGTTTATTTGTGCATCTAATAATTTAGTAATTGAGACAATGTTATAAATAAGTTGAGTTAGTTATGAGTTTATAGGCAAGCTTGAATTTGCACAAGTACTTCAGTGAGAGGAAAAAAAATAATATGAAATTGTGAAATATATATAACAAAAAATTATTTTGTAGTGTTGATTATTTTAAATTGTAAAATAGGAATTTTTGAATAAAAAATGGAACCTTTGATATTCTTTTATGATCTAAATCAATTCAAACTATAAAACAGTAGAGTTTATATATAATTAAAGTATATATATTTTTTAATTTCCATGTT